TGCCCTGGTCAGTTTGTCTCAGCGGTTGAGCGTTGGCCCGCAGACCAATGAGTCTCGGGTTCGGTTCCAGTCAAGGGCACGTACCTTGGTTGCAGTTCATCCCCAGCCCTGGTCGGGTCGTGCAGGAGACAACCAGTTGATGTGGCTCTATCACATCGATGTTTCTCTCTCTCTCTCTCCCACACTCCCACTCTATCTGATGATAAGTAGAAAAGTATCCTCAGGTGATGAATAAAAAAAATTTTTTTTTAAAGAAAAGAAAATGAAAATGTTCACCTTTTACATACTGTAGAACTCTACATTTAAATGATAAAGAAAATAAATTATAAAAGAAAAGGAAACTAAAGACCTAACCTCCTTATGGCAGGAGGAGAGAGGGGGAGTGGTTATGGGTTATAAGAGCTGTGAAGTCCTATCATGTGAATTCGCAACAGGCTTCTACCCCAAATACTGTATTTAAATACCTATTTTTAAATTTAAGAGAATTAAAAAGAAGCTGCACGTGATGGGTACGGGGAGGTTCATTACACCATTGTCTACTTTTGTATATGTCTGAAACTCTGTAATTAGAAAAATTAAAGAAAGAATGTGTTTATAAAAATTTTTCCAACACCTTTGGAAATAGTTTGAAGTGTTGCATGGTGAGCAGACCCACTAGCCCACGTGGCACCTTGGTGAGAATCTTTAAAGTCCCTTTCCGCAAGAGCATTTGCTTCCCTCTGCCGGCAGTTGTCGTAGTGGTGTGTACATCTTCGATGTCTGCACTGGGAACAGTGCTCCCTTGGAGGTGGTCCCTTGGGTCATGCACAGCTTCCCACCATCTGCAGAGGCCAAGCTTGGGTGTCACTAAATCACTGCTGAGAACGTCTTCTTTAAGAAGGTGGGGCAGGGAGTAGAGGGGGAGGGTGGAGGCCAAAGCTGCTTCACTGGTAGCTTAACTGGGAAGGAAGTGACCAGCGGTAGATGATGGTGCAATAGGCTATGCCCCCCACCCACCCACCGTAGGCTGAGACTATCGGACCTACTAACACAACAAACCTTGTAGGTGATGTTCCAGACTCACTAGAGTTGTGTGCTCTTTTGGGGTGTCCTGACAACACACTTGCTAAGGCTTTCCTTTCTCCTGGCAACTCTGACTCACATGATTGCCCCAGTGTCTCATATCCTCCCCTCCATCACACCCTAGTTCTGCTCATTTCAGTGTTACTGTCAGAACGTCTCCTTTTAACTTTCCTTCTTGGTTCTTGCTCTGTCCTGGTGTTGGTCAGTCCTTTTCCTATTGGAGGCGAGACATATCTTCCTCTCATATTTTGGGGAATTCTCCAGTTCCTGACTCCCTTGTCCATAGTCTACTGTATTGTGAAGCCTCTGTTAGCATGGGTAGGTGTCAGAAGGCTACTCTCGTGTTCAAGGATTCTGGGCCCCTGGGAAGGGGGACAGACACCAACTTTCCAATGACCCTACATGGTAGATATCATGGCTTGATTAAAAAGAAATAAAATGCAGAACATGTGAATTAGGGTTGAAGAAATATAGACAACTGATCTGAATGAATGAGAATAATAAAGAAGACTTCTTGCAAGAGGAAAATGATTTTTATTTTTTTATTATGTTTTATTTTTTTTAATCTTTATTGTTGAATGTATTACAGATGTTCCTCATTTTCCCCCCATTGACCCCCTTCTCCCCACTCCCACCTCCCTCCTGCCTTTTCCCACACTGTTGTCATGTCCATTGGTTATGCATATAAGTTCTTTGGTTTATTTCTTCCCACCCCCAAACCCCCTTCTCTTTTAGGTTTGTCAGTTTAGCAACCAATTTGTTCTTCTTAATCCCTTCACCTTTTTCACCCATTCCCCCAACCCTCCTCTCATCTGGCAACCAACAAAATATTCTCTGTATCTAAGAGAATGTTTCTGTTCTGCCTGTTTATTTTGTTTGTAGATTCCATTGCCAATAGATGTGTATTCATTGCCATTTTGTTTGTTCATATATTTTATCTTTTTCTTCAAAAAGACCCTTCATCATTTCATATAATAACGGTTTGGTGGCAATGAACTCCTTTAACTTTTTCTTGTCTGGGAAACTCTTTATATGGCCATCGATTCTAAATGACAGCTTTGCAGGACAGAGTAATCTTAGTTGTAGGTTCTTGCTTTGTATCACTCTGAATATTTCTTGCCACTCCCTTCTGGCCTGCAAAGTTTCTTTTGAGAAATCAGCTGACAGTCTTATGAGAACTCTCTTGTAAGTAACTAACTGCTTTTCTCTTGCTGCTTTTAAGATTCTCTCTTTGTCTTGAACCTTTTGCATTTTGATGATGATGTGTCTTGGTGTGGGCCTCTTGGAGTTCATCTTGTTTGGGACTCCCTGTGCTTCCTGGACTTGTATGTCTGTTTCCTTCACCAAGTTAGGAAAGTGTTCTGCCATTATTGTTTCAAATAGGTTTTCAACTTCTTGTTCTCTCTCTTCTCCTTCTGGCACCCCCAAGATGCAAATGTTGGCATGCTTGAAGTTGTCCCAGAGGCTCCTTACACTATCCTCATTTTTTTGGATTCTGTCTTCTTTTTGCTGTTCTGATTGGGTGTTTTTTGCTTCCTTGTATTCCAAATCAATGGCTTGCTTCTTGGCTTTACCTACTCTACTATTGAATCTGTGTAAATTATTCTTTATTTCAGTTAGTGCTTCCTTCATTTCTGACTGTGCCTCCTTCATTTCTGACTTGTCTTTTTTTATGCTCTTGAGGCCTTCACTAAGTTCACTGAGGTTCTCACTAAGTTCATTGAGCATCCTTATAAGCAGTATTTTGAACTCAGCATCTGTTAGGTTGCTTATCTCCATTTCGCTTAGTTCTTTTCCTGGAGTTTTGTTCTGTTCTTTCATTTGGGACCTGTTTCTTTGTCTCCTCATTTTGGCTGCCTCTCTGTGTTTGTTTCTATGTATTACTTAACGAGAGGTATGGGGCTATCTGAGACCAGATGCTGCTTGTTTGAAAGAATTCAGGAAAACCTGAAGCAGGATCCAAGACAGGCCAATCCTATGGTTAAGTATAACTGGCAACAGCTTGGGTGGGCCTGAAAATTGGGTGGGGCGGGGCCTCAGGGAATCACCAGGGCGGGGCTACCAGTGTGAGCCAGGTTGCTGGAGTCCCAGATATGGCTTCTGTCTGCCGCCCCGGGGAAGGGCTCACCAAAGGAACAAAGACCTCTGACAGCACGTCTGTCCTGGAGAAGGCCGCCTCTCCAGCCCTTGCTCCAATTTCAAACAGCTCAGTTCTTCCCTGTATGTCTCTGGTGCCCCTCAAGCTGCCTCCCCTCCAAGCTTAGAGGGAGTGTGTCCGATAATCTGTATGCGGGCCCTTTAAGAGGAACTGCCTGGGGCTCCAGCCTCCTCAGCCTCCCTGAGCCTCAGTTCCCGCTGTTTTTTCCATCCAGAAGTGATGGGGATTCTCTTCCTGGCACTTGAACCCTGAGCGGGGCACCTGGTGTGGGACGGGGACCCCTCCTTTCTCAGGAAGGACCTTCCCAGCCCAGGTGTCCTCCTGATTTTTATCCGCCACACGTGGGTGTGGGACCAGCCTCCGCCCTCCTACCAGTCTCGATGCAGCTGCTTCTTTAATTCCGTAGTTGTAGGACTTCCATTCAGCTCGATGTCAGGCGGTTTTGAATGATGGTTGTTCTATAGTTTAGTTGTAACTTTGATGTGGTTGTGGGAGGACACGATACTGCGTTTACCTACGCTGCCATCCTGACCAGAAGTCCCAGAAAATTATTTTTAGAAACTGAAGGATAGAGAGGAGTCCAGCTCCATTGTTAATACTGAGTGACCTTAGGCTAGTTACTTAAGCTTTCTGTGCCTCAAGACTCTATCTCCCAAGTGGAGCCATGATAGTGTCTACCAGATGAAGGTAGGGTGGTCTAGGAGGCCTCGCTGAGTTAATGGGTTGATGGGGCCTGGCATTCAATAAATGGTGGTTGGCAACAGTACATCTTCACATTCTTGGACATTGCAAACACTTCAGGATGATGAGGCCTGAATATTAAATAGGAAGAGACAATCAAGAAAACCCTAGATCTAGGAGGAAAAACAGCAACACGAAATGAACAATAATTATCATTGTCATAATCATTATTATTAAGTGCTTTTATTAAGTGCTCACTATCAGGAAATGTTTTAGTCATTTTGCATAGATTAAGCCACTTAATCTTTACAACTTTATTTTATAGAGAGGAAACAGAGTCTGAGAGAGCTACGCATTTTTACTTTGTTGGAAAAATAACAACATGAAAGAAATGTTTGCCCAAAGAAAACATGACTGTTCTTACTTCTACCCCTCACATAGAACATTTTCATTTTCCCGAATTATTTTCTAGTCCTTGATCATAGCCAACTTGTTCCTTTTAAATAACTTTATTCTTTGTACAAAAATGACGCGTACTCATAAAAAAACTCCAAGCAATAAAAGTACCATAAGAGAGCAAAATAGCAGGATGATATTTAAGAACAGAATGCTACCCTTGTCACTGGTGTGTTTATTGTTCATGTGTGAGTCACTGAAGTAAAATGTTACTCCATGGAAATGGAAGGTTTTTGGAAATATTGAATTAAAGGCAAATTTAAAGTTTGTATTATGAAGTATTAAACTACCTGATGTACCAAAAATTGTATGTAAGTTCTCAGATTTTACAATTTAAAAAAAAATGTTGAGTTTTTAAAAATCATCATCCAAGGATATATTTTTATCGATGAGAGAGAGAGAGAGAGAAACATTGATCATTGCCTCCCAGACAAACCCTGACTGGAGATTGAACCTGAAACCTTTTGGTGTACAGGACAATGCTCCAACCAACTGAGCCACCCAGCCAGCATATGATTTTCTTCCAGAACAAAAAATAGGGTCCTTTATACAAGATATTAGAAACAGGACTCTTCTTGATAATTTGATAATATTATCTTCTCCATAAATAAATTCTTTTTGATATTTTCTTTCTGTTCATTAGAGACCCAAGGCTTTCACCACTCAACCAAAAATGCAAGCTACCTACTGTCAGGATGATGAGCAGAATCAGAAAATAAGGTAATACTTTTCTTAGCATATGAGGAGACATGACTGATGTATATAACTTTTGAAAAGAATTGTTATTCACATTTTTGTGAATGGTATGAGTCTGAAAAAGAATCTGTTGAGAAAGAAGTAAGACTCATAATATCTCATTTCAAAGCTAAAGGGACCTTACATGATTTCTAGTTTACTGCTTGTGTTTAGAGGCCAGAGAGGTCGAGGGGATGCCGAAAGTCACAGTGCACTGAGACCAGAACCCAAGGTTCTCGATTTGTAGACATTCTTTCTGTCCTAGAACATGGGGAAAGAAAAAGAAGAAGAAGAAGAAAAAAAGAGCAGGTAGTTGAAATAAAAGCTCAAGACTGGCCACCTTATTAGTCAAAGTAAAGCTTTCTGAATAAACTTCAGCCATTTTCCAGGGTTAAACTAGTGGAAACACAAGACTCTCTCTAAAAGACTTCAGAAAGTATCCTCTTGCTTTTTTAAATGCAAAATAAGCATATTTCAAAAGCACTACCCATCTCCACCCTGGGAGGCTGTGTGAGAAAGAAAGTCAGGGCCTTTCGGCTCTTACAGATCCGCTGAGTCAGGCCAGGCCAGCATTACTAGACATGACACATGTGGGTGACAATGATAAAGAAATGCTTGGTGGGACTTTTGAGATGTCACATCCTCGTGATAGCTTGTTAGCATCACTTGTTGAAATTAGCATAGGTTTTCAATGGTAGAGGCCTGCTTCCTGAAGCCCCACTAGGGTTGCTCCAAGGCCACACACATTCAGGGGGTACTCAGTTCGTCACTGTGCACATCCCTAAGAGCCACTAATATTTCCACAGGTGGGCCTCAGGAGCACCCTACACCAGATTCAAAGAATGGAACAACACCAAAAAGAAAGACGACTGCACAATAAACTGGAGTGATGAGAGCAGGAACCTAGAAGGTTTTCCAGTGGCCTTGAAGCTTGCTGTGTTTGGCATCATCATCATTGTGATATTTGTCTACATAACTGTGGAAAGGAAGCCGTTCTTTGGTTAAGTGCTTTAGGAGCAGAGCAATGACTGCTTCACACCCTCCTGCTTCGAGAAGGAACAGGGCTGCCATGAAGGGGGAAGGCCAGCCCCAGAGCCGGCAGTCTTCCCCTGCACTGTTGACTCACGGTTCTGTACCTGGGCTCAGGCAGGTGTAAGGAACAAGGAGGAGAACCAAGGCACTTGTGTCAAAGAGCTAGATCATAGGGAGTTCCACAAGGTGTGCTGGCCATCATTAAAGGTGCTTCTACATCGACATGCATGTCAAAATAGGAAACTGGGCAGCATTTTTCTTTTTAATGATGGTATCAGCCATCAGTTGCATGGTATTCACTCTATTTACTCTTCAGATCATATAGTCAACTATGGGAAAGGCTATAACATAATTAACAAAAAAGAGTGTATCTGATTTGGCAAACACAAGGACATATCCAACATCATCCAAAAACAATGTAGAAAATCACAGCATTTTCTCCATTGAAACTTAACAAGGTTTGAACAAATCAAGGCCTGATGAGGGAATGATCATGGCCTCTGGGACCAGACAAAGCTGGGTAGGCACCTGGCTCCTCTCTATATGGGCTCTGTGACCTTAGAGGAGTCCGTTGTCTTCTCTGAGCTTCTGAAACTAGAGATAGAATAGACCTCTTAGGGTAATGAAGAATTTGAAGAAATAATGCATATAAAAGTACTTAATGTGACCCATACCTAACTGGTAGTAAGTCTCCAGTATAAGTCTGATAAATGCTTAAGTAATGTTACACTTTGGCACAGTATTTTTACTTCTGGGAGGAAGTAATCCTAGATAAAGAGAAATCTTAAGTACAAAGAATTTGCATGGTAGTCAAAATGTAGAACAAATCCAATGATCAAACAACAGGAGAATAGTTTAATAAATTGAAGTAAAGCCTCTTGATAGATAATTATGCAATGATTAAAAATATTGACAATGAATTGATCATTACAGATATACTTAATTAAAAATTTTTATAACAGCTTCAGTGGGATATAATTTACATGCCATACAATTCACCTATTTAATGTGTATAACTCAATAATCTTTAGTCTGTTCATAGAGTTGTGCAATCATCACCAAAATCTATTTTAGAATATTTTTATCACCCACAAAATGCTTTTTAAAAAGTGATAACAGTAAAACAACACACATGTGTTACTACTGTATTATCACTACTGTTCAAACAACACGGGAAGGAAATATGTCAAAATGTAATCAGTATTTCAGTGATGGGACTCTGATTTTCTTTTCCTTATTTCTACTGTTCTATATTTATTAAGATTTCTATAAGTGGGGTGTGTTAATATGCTAATGAGAGAAAATAAATTTTAATTTTTAGAAATTGTATACTGTATTACAGGTTGGCTGCAAGGAACATAAAACTCCAATAAGGCCAGCTTAAACAAATAAGGATTTATTTTTATCTCATAAAAAAAAGATTTGGAGCTTAAGACATATAATATTGTTAAACATAACTAAATGTAATATTATTCTGATTCCAATAAACCAACTGTGGAAAAAAATGATTAAGAAAATTAGAAACTGACTGAGTAATTGGTGATATTAAGGGATACTTGAACTTACTGAGCAACAGCACCTATTCTGTGACCGTGAGGTAAAAAGCATGAGAGAAAGGCTCAGAGAATCACAGAGACAATGGTCTGCTATCTTTGAACAGCTAAAGTTAGCTCTGCAGCTCCAGCCATTGCATTAACATTTAAGGCAGGAGTTAAGGACTGACCTTATCCCATTGTCAGTTCTGTGTTACATATGTCACGCAGAACAGTAAGGAGGATTCGAAGAGTGAGGATTTGAACTTTAGTAGCCTCTATATTAGACAGACAAGAAAGAAGGGGATCAGGTATAAGACCAGGAGTAAGCAACCTGCAGTGAGAGTCACATGTTCTAAAAAAAAAGGACACTTGTGCAACTGTAATTGGAAAAAAAAATAACAATAATAATAAAAATTTTAAAGGACACTTCTGTTCTTAATAAGATCAAGCATTATAAAATAAATAAATAAACCACACCTAGAAAAGCATCGTTTTTACTTTGAATTTTTACCAATCAGTTCTTTTCCTTTTTTAATGAATGTTTCACTTTTTTTTTTTTTAATCCTCATTGAGGGCATGCTTTTATTGATTTTTTTTTCTTTTCTTTTCTTTTTTTCTTTAGAGAGAGAGAAACATCAATGTGAGACATTGATTGATTGCCTCCCATATGTGCCCCAACCAGGGATCACACCCACAACCTGGGTATGTGCCCTGACCAGGAATTGAACCTGAGACCTTTCAGTGTATAGGACAATGCTCCAACCAAATGAGCTACACAGACCAAGGTGCCAATTAGTTCTTTTTTAAATTAAAAAAATTTTTTTAAATTTTTAATTACAGTTGACACACAATATTATATTAGTTTCAGATATACACCCCAGTGATTAGACATTATATAACTTATTAAGTGATTATACTGATAAATTTCATATCCATCTGACACCGTGCATAGTTATTAGAATATTACTGACTATATTCCCTATGCTGTACTTTACATCCCCATGACTATTCTGTAATAAGCAATTTGTACTTTTTAATTTCTTCGCCTTTTTTACCCATCCTCCCACCCTCCTCCCATCTGACAACCATCAAAATGTTCTCTGTATCTATGAGTCTGTTTCTGTTCTGCTTGTTTATTTTGTTTTTTAGATTCACTTTTTCGGTAAATATGTATTTTTTTATTTAATTAATTAATTTATTTTTGTTACAGATGTTTCTCCTTTTCCCCCAACTGATACCCCTACCCCCTCCCTCCCTGCCCTGTCCCCAGCTTTGTTGTCCATGTCCATTGTTCATGCATACATGAATATAAGTTCTGTGGTTTATCTGTCCCCCCACCCCCTCTTCTGGGGATTGTCAGTCTGTACCCCACTTCCAGATCTCTGGGACTACCCCATTCCTCAGACTGTTATGTTCATTATATTCCACAAATAAGTGAGATCATGTGATATTTGTCTTTCTCTGCTTGGCTTGTTTTGCTTAGGATAATACTTTCCAGGTTCCTCCATGTAGTCTTAAAGGATAAGAGATCTTTCTTTCTTACAGCTGTATAGTACTCCATTGTGTATATGTACCACAGCTTTTTTTATCTATTTGTCTACTGATGGATATTTGGGCTGTATTTATTGCCATTTTATTGTTCATATTTTTAACCTTTTTATCTTTTTCTTCTTAAAGAAGACCCTTCAACATTTCATGTAATACTGGTTTGGTGGTGATGAGCTCCTTTAGCTTTTTCTTGTCTGAGAAGTTCTTTATCTGTCCTTTGATTCTAAATGATAGCTCTGTTGGGTAGAGTAATCTGGGCTGTAGGTCTTTGCTTTTTATCATTTTTAATATTTGTTTCCAATCCCTTCTGGCCTTCAAGGTTTTTGTTGAGAAACCAGCTCAAAGTCCTATGGGAGCTCCCTTGTAGATAACTAGCTGCTTTTCTCTTGCTGCTTTTAGATTCTCTCTTGGACTTTAACCTTTGACATTTTAATTATGATGTGTCTTGGTGTGGACCTCTTTATCTTGTTTGGGACTCTGAACTTCCTGGACTTGTATGTCTATTTCCTTTGCCAAGTTAGGAAAGTTTTCTGCCATTATTTTTTCTAATAGGTTTTTAATTTCTTGCTCTCTCTCTCCTCACCTTCCAGCACCTCCATGATGCAAACGTTGGTATGCTTGAAGTTGTCCCAGAGGCTCCTTTGGGACTATCCTCAATTTTTTTTTTAAATTATTTTTTCTTTTGCTTTTCTGATTGGGTATATTTTGCTTTCTTATACTCCAAATCACTGATTTGATTCTCAGCTTCAACTACTCTACTATTGATTTCCTATAAATTTTTCTTCATTTCAATTAGTGTATTCTTAATTTCTGACTGGTCCTTTTTTATGCTGTAGAGGTTCTCACTGAGTTCATTGAGCATCCTTATAACCAGTGTTTTGAACTCTGTATCTAGTATATTGCTTGTCTCCATTTTATTTAGTTCTTTTTCTAGAGTTCTCTTTTTTCATTTGGGACATGTTTATTTGTTTCCTCATTTGTTTCCCAGGCTTGGTAAAGTGGCCTAATGTTGTAGATGTTCTATAGGGTCCAGTGGTACAGCCTCCCTGATCACCCAAGCTGGGCACTCGAGGTGTGCCCCCACCCAATGTGGGCTTTGTACATCCTCTTCTTGTAGTTGAGCCTTGTTTGTTGTTGGCATGTCAATGGGAGGGATTTACCTACCCCCAGCTGATCAGCTATAAGAACTGACTGCAACCACCTACCACCCACCTCCAGCCCACTGTGAAGGATCAGTTGTGTAGGGGCACACCTCACAGAGTAGGACTTGCTTCAGCAGGGCTTTGGTACCCCCTGAGTCAATCCCTTGAGTGTGTCACTTGTGGAGGTGGTTGGGTGGCGGTGCTTCAGTGTGGTTTAAAACTGTCCACTGGGGTTGCAATGGCTCTGGGGCCTCCCAGAAGGTGCAGGCCGAGGTCAGCTGCCACCTATGTTCTACCTGGGGTCACCCAGTATGAGCTACCAAGTGATCTGCAGATGGCTGCTACTTATAATGGGCTTGGAGGTGTCCAGGTGAGACCAAACTGCAAACCAAGGCCGGCTGCTGCTAGTGCTGGGCCTGGGACCATGTAGTGACAGGTCCAGGGCTCGCTGAGGCCAGATGCTGCTTGTTTGAGAGATTTTAGGAAATCCTGAAGCATGAGCTAAGACAGGCCATTTTATGGAAAGCCACTGGAAACAGCTTGGGTGCCCTCCCAAGTTGTGTGGGTCATGGAATCACCAGAGTGGGGCAAACGGTGTGAGCCAGGTTGATGGAGTCTCTGCTGTGGCATCCACCTGCCAGCTCTGTGGCGGGGGTGTGTGGGGGCTCATCAAAGAAACAAAGGCCTCTACCAGCACCTGTGTCTGGGAGAAAGCTGCCTCTCTGAGCTCTTGCCCTGATGCCAGGGA